ACGACTATTAGAAAACCTTGAGGAATGTGATTCTTTAAGTCATACCAAGTATAAATCACTGCTCAATTAGTTCAGGAATAGAGTGTGGAATAATAAATTTACTAGTGATATGGTGTGTATAACATTCCCTGTTAGAATGACAGATGAGTATCTGAAGTTTGGAATGAAAAATATGTTTAAAATATTAATAAAACTGTGGTAAATAGATACTTGGCTGACCACCACTCTACACAAAAGAAAAAGGACTTAGCCAGCATTAGAGCAGCTACAGTATTAAAATACATTATCATTAAAGATAGTTTCAGAAATAGAAAAGCATAAAACAATGTCTTCCATGCCCAGATAACCAAATCTCTACACTTATATACTTAATACAGTAGCTACTAGCAAGCCACAGGTGGCTTTTGAGCACTTGAAATAAGCCTAGCATGACTGAGGAACTGATTATCAAATTTTATGTATGTTTAGATAAACTTGAGTATGTGAATCTACTTTTTCAACTATAAATTATAAGAATTCTAAATACAAAGAAAAATATTTCCAATGAAACTCTAGGATCTGAATTTTGATGTGCTATAAATGTATATACTATACTGTGGATTTTGAATAGAGTAAAAACTAGAATGTAAAATACTTCAGTGATAATTTATTTATTTAAAGATGACCGGTAAGGGGATCTTAACCCTTGGCTTAGTGTTGCCAGCACCACGCTCAGCCAGTGAGCAAACCTGCCATCCCTAAATAGGATCCAAACCCATGGCCTTGGTGTTATCAGCACCACACTCTCCCGAGCTAGCCACAAGCCGGCTCTTCAGTGATAATTTTTAAATTGATTACATGTTGAAATGATAATATTTTAGATATTGTTGTGAGCTGAATTGTGTCTCTCCTAAAATTTATATGTTGAAATCCTAACACCCTGGATCTCAGAATGTGACTGTATTTGGAGATATGGTCTTTAAAGAGGTAATATGAAAGTTAAAATGAGGTCATTAAGGTGGGCACTACTCCAAAATGACTGGTGCTTTATGAGAAGAGGAGATCAAGACACAGACACAGAGGGAGGACCATGTGAACACACAAGAAAAGGTGACCATCTACAAGATAAGGAGAGAAGTCTCAGAAGAAACCAAATCTGCTAAAAAACTTGACCTTGAACTCTAGCCTCCAGAACTGTGAGAAAATAAATTTCTGTTGTTCAAGCCCCCCAGTCTGTACTACTTGGTTATGGCAGCCTCAGCAAACCAGTACAGATATATTATGAAATATATTTTACCTGTTTTCTTTCTACCTTTAAAAAAATGTTGCTAACCAGCAAATTTAAAACTACAAATGAGGCTCACACTATATTACATTTCTAGTGGACAGCAGTACTCAATAGGGGGAATGCAGTGAATTGGAGGACCTATTTTAGAGAGAAGTAAATAATAAAAATGGTGGGATGGGTAATTAACACAGAAATAGGAGTAAATAACAGAGTTAAGAATGCAGAAGGAAAAGTGCCTGAAAGTAAATAGTTTAACTGTTGAAACAAATGTGAGACACAAAGGAAACACACAAAAAAGATTCAAATAATGAAGGATGAGAGCAGGAGGGGAGAAAAAGAAAGCCAAATATTACTCAAGTAATCATTTCCCTCCAAGGGGGTTCAAAAGTTAATCTACTTGTTTAGCTGGCTTTAACATGGTACTGGCATTAAAGAGATTGGTGAGTTCGCTAAGAATCGAAAGCAATGGTAACAAGAGAAATAGGAGATACAGTAACAGTATTTAAATACAAGGGTTTTACATAGGATTTTCTAAAATTATAATACAGTATTTCTAAAATTTTATATTGCTTTATTTGGTTTTACGAAGAATTATTTATGTACTATAATATGCATATATGTATATATATAGAGAGAGACTTTTTTCAATTAAAATGTGCATCGAAGATAACATAGGTATCAAAGATGTTTAGCAAAATACTAAAACACTGTAAATAAACTGGTGATTTGTTGTTTTCCTTGAATTATTTCACTATTTTATGTATATGAAATGCTGCCCTGTCTTTCTCTGCACATCATTAAGTTGAGTGGCTTTAAATACCTCTGACCTGAAAATTCAGATTCCTTCTCTGACTTCTTTGACTAAACATTTAACGACATCATAAAAGCAATCCCTGACAATATTTAAAAAAGGTCAACGTAAGAAATTAGTGATAAATGGAGAAAGCACAGTACCTGTCGACTCATGTTGGCAGGAGTGAACTGGTTAAGAATGGGTTGCAAACCTGTTGCATCAGCAGCTGTTCTGTAATCCAACCGATACTCCATAAAAATAGTAATTGGAGTGAGTTTGTCTCTAAATTCGGATTCATCCTAGAAATGGAAAAGCTTTGAATTAATGATGACATCAACTTAAACTATCTGGAGAAATCCTAAGTGCACATCACAAAGCCAGCTGTATTCATCCCTTAATCTTTTAATTCTGCCAAAACTCTGAGAAATTATATTTTGTGTTATAATAACAAAGGGGTAACCTAAAAGCTTATCATTATTCACTGAGAACTTGCAATCAAATTTTTGTTTTATAATGTAAAATTTGATTCACATAAAAATATACAAAGCATGTTAATGAAATGAGCACACACACACATACACACACACACTCACAATAGCTGGGACATCCCCAATAGCTCTTAAGCTACCCACGTACTTCTCTTTTCATCTCTCTGCCTTTCTTCTCAGAGGTAACCACTATCCTGAATGTTAAGTTCACCATTCCCTTGTTTGCTTTTCTATAGTATCACTTTTTTGAAATCTGTTTAAACTTCTTTTCTGGTCTATGCATGGTCAATTTTTATATTCTGTAATTGGTGGGTGCCAGATTTTATACAGGTCTGTTAAATCAAGCTTTTGCTATACAGTACGTCCCTGAACAATATGTTCTCCAGTTTTGCTTTTTCCTTTTTTGCTTATTTAAAAATGGGATCATACGTTGTCTTCTGTGATTTGCTTTCTGTTCAACCCTCTTGTTAAGATTCATCCATACTGTTGCATGTAGCCAAGATTAACTATTATTGTTCAGTAATAATTCTTAATATAAATATACCACAATTTATCTGTTCTTCTGTCAAAGGTTATTTGGGTTGTTTTGGAGTTTTTTTGTTTTTGCTACTACAAAAATGTTGCAATGATTATTCTTATACATAGTGACAACTAGATCTGTCAGCTCTATATTACCATATTATTTCCAAAGTCTTCATAACAATTTA